AGTTTTATTTCCTTAGTGTAACCCCTTGAATAAAATTCATGCCTCTACTGAATTTTCTGAAGATGGGCATACATAGAAAGATGCCAGTTTCATTGTCCTCTGTATCCTGTACTGTAGTTGGTGTTTTCCAACACCCAAATTAATAGTTAAAATAGCTCTATCTTTAAAATGTGTAAGTAGAAAGGAAATTCTGAAGCCTGAGACGCTGTCACTTCTCTTCCTTGGACAATGCCTTACTACCCCTGGCACATCTGTGAGATACCAGTGTGCTTTGCTCATGAAACTTTGTTAATTGAGGAAGTCATAAAGTGCTGTTTGCTCTGCATGCCAGTTCCCTGCCAGTAAACCCTGTATCCTCAGGCAAGAGCCTCACCACCCTGAGCTGAGAGTGTAAGTATAAATCAGCCAACCAGTGCAAAGTATTAACACGGTGTATGCCATGGTTATCATCCAGTAGCTGTTAGGTAATACGGTCATACAAAGATAATCAATAGATAGAGATCAATGTCAAGGAGAATATACTATAGAAGATTTCCCTGATAGGAGCTGTAGAAATGGCTTAGTGGCTAAGACTAAGTACTGTTCTTCCAGAGGACCAAAGTTCAATTCTCAGTGCCCATGTCTAGTGGCTCACAACCACCTGTAACTCCAGCTTCAGAGCTTCTGATGCCTCTGTCTTCTGATAGCCTAGCACAACCACAGAGCGACCCATATGCACATACATTATTTAAAATAATAAAATAAATATACTTTTAAAAAAGACTCTCTTCCAAGAGATTACGCATGACAACCTGGCCATAAACTGGTTCTGAGGCCTCATTACCAAAGTATGTGGGAATCATGACTGGTGTGCACACCAGTCTTCAAATTGCCTTTGAGGATGGGGCATTTTTACATAAATTGATATAAAATTCATTTTTATGGTTGCATGGAAAAACACAGTGTGTGTAAAATATAGTGTTGCCAAGACTTGACATTAAATACATTCAGTTTTCATTGACACTCCTAAAACCTGCTTTAAGATAGGCAGAAGGCAAAATGCAGGATTCATGATGCTCTCAAATGTCGCATAAGGTTTTGTGAAACTCTTGTTTACATTTGTGAGCCAAAGTATATAAATGTGATACATCTAGTGTTTTATTTTTTTCTGTCCACTTTTGTTTTGGGGAAATTTTCTCCAGCTCTACCCATATCCTCACCCTCCAGCATGGCTGCCTAGTTTCAGGTCATTGCCCTCTTACTAGGTATGAAGCCCTGTGCTGGGTGCTGGGTGCTGGGTGCTGGGTGCTAGGTGCTGGGTGCTAGGTTCTGGGTGCTGGGTTCTTAAGGGCATTAGTGGGCTCTTCTTGCAGATAAATCCATTCCCTTTCAGCTGTTGCTGTATGGTATACCACAAGTTCTGTGGTGGGTGGAGCCATTTCTTGTCATTTGTCAGATGAAACCGGTTCTGAGACACACAGTAAGATAATGCTGAGTGGATACACCAAAGAGATTCTGGAGTGATATACATTGGCATATGTGGAGACATGGGCCCCTAACAATAGTGTGTTTATAATTTCCTCATCATCCTCATTTTTATTTTGCAAAGTCTGTTGGTGGTGGCTCTAACTCTGGCAGACTTGCTATTCACCTCTGTTTTCTTTTCCTCATGGACCTACAGCTTTTCCAGTATGCCTTACAGTTAGTTATGTCTGGCCATTACAAAACGAAATATTACCCCTACACCCAGCCCATAAGACTTCCACATGCAATCACCCCTCTTTCCTTGGATACTGAAAGCTGTGAAGATAGGGCACCGAAGAGGGCAATCTGCAGCTGGGTCTGAAGTTATACCACTGGAAGATGCTTTAAACAAACTATTAGAAAACACAATTCTGAAGGAGGAACTTGTGAGAGGATAGGGACAAATGGAGAAAGAGAGGGAAGAGAAGAAGGAAAGATGGGAGCAGGTGACAGTGAGAGATAAGTGTGTACATTATCACTCAAGTATTTTTGTGTATAACCAAGCTCTTATACATAGAATAATTCAAAACTTATATTTCATCTAAAATTACAACCAAAAATTTAATTTAATGTTGTGGTCACATACATAGCCAGGCATATTTTCTACCTCTACTTATAAGCCTCACAACTGATGACTTAGAAATACTCATCAATAAAGTTAACCTACAACAATTTGATGTGGTTTTGGGTCATTGAAAAACATTTCTTAAAGATGAATCAATTTGCATTCTACTATTGAATCTAATTAGTTTTCTTTCTCAGCATACTTCTGAATTCCATTGTATTGTTAGTCATAGGAACAATATAGGTATCTGAAAAAGAAGTCAACACCATCTTTATTAACATAAATGAAAATGTCCCCACTGTATGCTGCTACTGTCAGCATTCATAATTGAGACCCTGTCAAGGCCATTATTTAATTCTGAAAAGACTGACAGTATCCACAGTGTTGCAGTTGTTTAACTAGACAAAGCGAATACTCTTTTAAACATCTGTGGAAATTAAATGTGCATACTATCAATAACTATTCAGTTTACATTTCTAGTTTAATAAATTACCTAGATGGGTTTGAGAATATAGCTCAGTAATGCTTGCCTGGTATGTAAGAAGGCTGGATTTAACCTGCGTACCACCAAAACCAGAGCAAAACAAAAAAAAAACAAAACAAAAAACCCTTACAAACCTGATTCCTTGAAATGATGACTGAAGCATATATGAGAAACAGGAAAATGATTTTAATGTTTCTAAATTATAATCCAGCATGCACAGTAAAAATAGAGTTTATCTCTTTATTTCTTTCTGGATCTCCTTAAGCATGGTCAGCCCACATGACTTTTTACTGCATGCCACACATTGTGAAATAGGATTTTCACCATTTCAGTGACGAATGTATTTATATTCCTGTAAATACAGATTTGTTTCTGAGATATGGCTAAGTTGCTTGGAAATTGTACAGTCCTGCCGGGTTTTACTTTTGAGGTGGCTGAGGAGAGGCCAGATCATGACCCTATAAACCCCTCTGCTTCCCTTTCTTCTAATCCCAGGGCCAAGCAGAAGGCTCAACGTTTCTCCAAAGATTTGTGAGTGGCCAGTAAACACCTGAAGGTGCTCCGCACTGCTGGCCAGGGATGCAAGCCAAAGCACAGTGGGGCACTGATTAGGACTGCTACTATTAGAAGACATTTTTTTAAAGTTCTGGCCAGGAGGCAGAGAAGCTGGCAAACCTGTGGGTTTCTGGGGCGGAAGTGAGAGGATGTTGATGATACAGCTGCTGTGGAAAACTGCTGTTTTTCCAAATGTTAAACACAAGGAGCTCCACCTGGACTGGACAGTCCACTTCTACCTATGCAAAGACCAGTGTACATGTATCTACTTGAAGACACTTAAATATCAATATTTAAACAATATTATTCATAATAGTCAAAAGGTGGAAACAACTCAGATTCCCTCAACAGGACAGACATTCTTTTTATATTAATTTTTGTTTTGACAATTTCACACATGTATATAATATATTCTGGTGCTGCTCTCCACCCTGTGCCCTCTCACCCCCTCCTATCACTGCCAAACCACCAAACCTCATCTCTACAGTTCCCTTTCCCAGGTCCATGACTTTTGGGTTGGTTTTGTGACACACTGAACTTACTCAGGGCCATTTGTGTGCTGTTGGAGCTGGGAGGGATCATCGTGGGTGCAAAGCTGCAGGCAAGGATTCCCTCTGCCTGACTCTTACCAGTAGCAGACATTCAGAAGTAAGGGTAGGGCCCCCTGAGCCCTTCCCCTTCTATTCCTGACTATTGGGGGCTCATTCCTGTGCAGAACCATTGTGGTCATAGCAACTGTGAGATCATGCTCACCAGAGGTGTGTCTTGTGCAGAAGATAGCACTCTGCAGCCCTGCTCCCTGTCATCTGTCTCTACATTCTTTCTCCTCCCTCTTCTGCAGTGCTCCTGAGCCTCAGCAGGGGTGCTATAAAGGTCCTATTTGGGGCTTATTACCTATCACTTATTCTCAGCACTTTGTACAGCCATAGTCTGCATTCACTGCCATTCACTGGAAAGAGGTTTCTCTGATTATGGATGATAGTAGCATTTCTCTTTGGGTATAAACATAAATATTTATTGAGGCAGCTTGACACTGTGTCAGTTTAGCTAAGCAATAGTGTTCAGTTGCCTCCTAGGATCTAGGATCTTCCCAACCATGTTTTTTAAACCATGTTTATAGCACCGGGTTCCCCTTGTGGATCAGGCCCAAATCCAAACCAAGAGCAATTGGTTACCCTCATAATAGTCGTCCGACTATTGTACAAGTGGGCATATCTTTCTTGAAAGATTAGACTTGTAGAGTTCACAGCTGAGTACAACTGTTGATATTTTCTCCCCTAGCAGCTTGTGTAGCACCTCCTGGGACCTGAAAAGGCATGGAAGAGGTTTTTCAATTCCATCCCAGCTTGATTTCTCTATACATGCATTCAAGATGTGTGATGAAGGATAGGAGATGCTACATTGTGCTACATTGTGGACAAACCTTAGAGACTTATGCTAAGTAAAATAAGCCAGACACAAAAAGTTATGACTGTTATGACTCTACTCACAAGACCAAAATATTCACATCCATGGGGATGGGAAGAACTGTGCTTGCTAGGGAATGGCCTGAGGGGTAAAGGGTGTGATGTTTTTGTTAAGATAATAAGAAGTTAGCAATGTATATATGACACCGTGAGTATACCTAATGTTACCAAACTGTATGTTTAAAAACAATTAAAATGACCATCAAAAATACATTGTATGCTTGTATGAAATTCTCACAGCATAAAAATATTATATTGAAATAGCTTAAGTGATACATTTGTTATGTATGTTTCATTATAAAACATGTATATGTGTTTATTCATGTGCGTAATAGGCCCCAGGTTTAATAAATCATTCACATTGTGAAAAAGTGTGATTGAAGGGATGCTGAGCAGATACTCACTGCCACTCACTCTTCTTCTGTAGGAGTCACACATGCAGCCATCTGGGCAGCATGCATCTCTTACCTCAGTGCAGCCGTTCCTCCCGAGCTGAGGACCTCTGCCCAGGGCATCCTGCAAGGCCTTCATCTGGGTCTAGGGAGAGGATGTGGTGCCATGATCGGAGGAGTGTTAGTCAATTACTTTGGTAAGAATAACTTTTCTTCTGTTCCTTTGAGGAAAAAAAAGGGTTTTTCAGCCATCCCAGAATTCAACTTTTGGTTGAGTCAGGTACCCTACACAAATGAATAAGCACATATGCTTTTGGATGAGTCAGGTACCCTGTACCTGCTGCCAATGACAAAAAAGCAAACAGAATCCATAGTTACTCAAAAAAAAAACCCTTAACTAATCACTGATGTACATAATCTATACATTATGGTCACCAGACCTCTTGTTGGAAATCCGAGGGCTAGGACAGAAGTCCGGTTACTCTGTTCCCTCAGTTTGATTGCTTGGTCTTCTGTGCAAGCGCCCAGAGCTGTGGGACTTTACAGCACTATTTAAGTTCTGCTGTTCCAACTGCACATGAACACATGAGTATCATGTCTGGATGGAGTCACTCAGAGATGGTCCTTCACTGAGCAGAACCAGCACCAGGGACTCCTGATGCCACCCTGGGCTCTCCTAGTAACAGAAGGGCACTGACTCTGCTCAGTGAAGCTGTGCTTCCTTTGCCCTGAATGTCAGACTGTTAAAGGTGGAAGGTTGTTGCATTTCCTGGAATTACTAGGTCTGCTCTTCTTGTTTTCAAGGGGCTGCTGCAACCTTCAGAGGGATTGGCATGGCCTGCCTGGTGATCCTCCTGCTGTTTGCTCTGATCCAGTGGCTGGCAGTGCCAGATGAGGAAGAAGGTAAAGGTGTTCTCTTTCTTTTGAGGGGGGGTGGTGTGCGAGGGTGGAGGGTTAAGGGTTTGAAACTGGCCTTCTGTGTGCAGCCCAGAGTGGCCTTGAGTCTGCAATCCTGCCTCAGTCTCTAAGTGCTGGGATTACAGGTGTGACCCAGCCTTGGCTCCATTCTTTCTTAGTAGTTCTCTGAGAACACTGGCTGTATGGTAAACACTGGCCTGCAGGAGACATAGTCTCAGTGGTGTCCTGGTGAACTCATGGTAGAGCAGACACCCCTGTGAGGGGAATACTGGATGCTGAGCCAATTGGGGCTTTCTTGGTTTTATTTTATGTAACAGTACAAGGTGCCATGGAAGCATGAGTTTCAATACTCCCCGGAACTCTTAAGAGATTTCAGATTTAAGGCAAATGCATGTAAGGCCATATGATAATTTCCTACTAGGGATAGGAGTGCTGTTATTAATCTCTATGTCTTTACCTCCATTAAAAATATGTCTGTTGATGCTTCTCCTAGAAGGCATGGCCTTTATTAAAATCATCATACAAAAAGGAAAGGAGGGGCTGGTGAGATGGCTTAGCAGGTAAAGGAACCTGCTCCCAAGCCTGAAAACCTGAGTTTCATCCCAGGGACCCACAGAGTAGAAGGAAAGAATCTACTCCTTCAAGTGTCCTCTCTGGCCTTCACGTGTGTTCTGTGGCACTCTTGTGCCTACAAATAACACACACACACACACACACACACACACACACACACACACACACACACACAAATAAATTTCTTAAAAAATCAATTTTTGATATCTTAGTTGTGAGGAAAGCTATATCAAATGTAGATGAAGTGAACAAGTAGTGTGGAGCTTTTGGTGAAAAGGTCAACAATAGAATGCACACTTTCTTTTATCACTCCATGGCCCAGCACAGAGCTGGTCATCTTGGAGCCTCCATCCTTCCCACAGCACTGGCCCTGGGGCCGTGCTACTTCTAGTTAGAGAAAATATTGCCTGTTATAGAACCTCAGAGGAGCGTTTCAGTCTCACTGAGCTTCTCAGGAGAAAGGCCAGTGGGGGTTCTTCTTATCTCCGGCCATGAGCACAGCATTCTAGGTGGGCACCACAGTGTCAGGGTTATTTTCTCTTTCCCTTTGTTTTAAATGTATAGAAAACTCTGAAAATAATTTTAATGTTGTTTTTCTCTCTAGACAAGACAATGCTGGCAGAAAGGATTCCTGTTCCCTCTAGTCCTGTTCCCATAGCAACCATCGACCTGGTACAGCAACAGACAGAAGATGTCATGCCACGCATTGAGCCCAGACTTCCGCCCAAGAAAACCAAGCACCAGGAAGAACAGGAAGATGTGAACAAACCAGCCTGGGGGGTCAGCTCTTCTCCCTGGGTGACCCTTGTGTATGCACTCTACCAGGTTAAAGAGATGATGCAACTGACAAGAGATAGCCGTGCATCTGAGATACAGCCTTTACAGGTAACCCTCTGCTGGCCTTGTACACTGTCACTCCCTCCTTGCTCATCAAAACATATGGGAAGCCTGGTGGGAAACACACATGCACACAGAGGATTTTAGTTGGCAGGGGTAACTGTCACAGAAGTGCTCACCAGGTCCCTCCTACAGAGAGAATTTGCTTTGTGGGGCCCAGAAAGGCTTCACAGAGGAGTTGATGATTCTCATATATATATTCATATTCCAGCTTTGCTTACTTCTCTTATGTTTCAATAGTACAAAATACAATTTGCAACCAGAATATATAGCTCTCTTACTTTTGGAAGAGCTTATATCTCCATAATTTCAGAATTCCAGGGAGATCATTGCACATATCAGCTGCTAAATTAACCCACTAACATCTGCTTGGCATGGCTCCCAACTCAGTAATGTGTGGTTCTGAGAGGCCCCACTAAAGGTAAAGGCATGGTCTCTTTGTCCCTAAAGGGGCGGTCTCTCCTGAGAAATGTCGAATGGTATTGATAAAATCAGCAACTGCATCACCAAAGCTGCATCCTGACTTTGCAGAAGGAATGTGGCCTCTGCAAACAGTTTTGTCAAAGCAGTAGCTCTACTACCCCCTTGCTATATTAATCTTTCCCTTTTCTTCATAAGTAATGCCAGCTCTCTATTTACAGTAGCTTAAAGGACCCAGAGGAGGGCAAGCCAGATGGCTCAGTGGGTAAATGCACTATGCCTTATGATCCCTGGAATCCACATGGAAGAAGGAGAAAACCAACTTCTATAAGTTGTCCTCAGACTTCCATACCCACTCCATGGCATACTTACACACACTATAAAACAAACAAGCAAGCAAATAAATAAATAAATAAATGTGATATTTGAAAACTGACCCAGAAAGAAAAAGTAAAAGGGAAAATAAAGAGTAATATCTTTTTTAAAAAATCTGACAAACTACTGGTGACCAAAGAGATGACTCAGCAGTTAAGACTGTCTGTTGCCCTTGTAAAGGACGCAAGTTTGGTTCCCAGTATCCATGACATGTGGTTCACAGCTGTGTATGACTCGAGCTTCAAGCAATCTAATGGCTTCCATGGACACGTGCACTCATGTGCAGGAACCCATACACAATCACACATGCATATACATAATTCAAAATAAAAGCAAGTCTTCATATGAGAAAAAGCAAATATGTCAACTACCTTAATTAATCTTGCCTTTAAAACTAACTGTAAACTCTGCATGGTTTTACCAAAACTGACACCTCACTGATAGCCATATGTATGCCATTCTGTGCATAATCCTAACCCAGGTATCGAGCCAGAACTGGACATGAGGGATGGAGGGACCCATGGAGGCTCTATACCATAGAGCAGGAGGGTGATACAGGGAAAGGATGCCCTGCTACTGAGAGACAGTGTCCAGGACTCTGTGAACTCATCTTCATTTTCACAGATGATACCCAGTACCTCTGTGGCATTAAAGTTGGCTTTTTCTCTCCTCTGGCATGAGTTAAAGCTAATAATAAATAACAGGTCACTCCCCATTGGCCTCACGCAGTGTCTTCATATTCCCTGCTCTGTCCTACTTAACTTCCCTTGTGTACTTTGAAATCCCATGTGTATGTTAGAACTCTATATCACGGACATTCTTCACCTGGCTATCTTTGGGTGAGGACCCTGTTTATTCACTACTGGACAGTGAGTCAGTGGCTCTTCACTATTGTGGTCTTCCCTATGGCCTGTGACTTGCCACAGAACTGGGGTACTCAGTAAAAATTTATGAATATAAGTTGTTTGCCTGGCAGTGATAAGAACACTGATAAAAATGTTCCTTTAGCCATAAGATATGTCTGCTTATAGTGTTTGTGTTTTTCATGCGGCTCTGGCAGTTACACATAGGAAAGGAAATGAAAGGTAAGACATCTATCCTTTTCCTTCATGAATTGGTTCCTGAGGTGGGCTTTTCAAGAGATTGCCATACATTCTTACTTGAAACTATGTATAATGGATTGGCTATATTCTTTCTCATACACCATGGAACATCTGTTTTGTTTTTTTTCCTTCCAGGGGACCAGTGAGAATCGGGAAATCTCTGCAGCTGGTGCAGCCCATCATGTCCCCTGTGAGAGTCACTCTGACCCACCTAGAAACCAGCCATTCCCTGACACAGCAGCATCTCAAACGCAGGCCAGCCCCGCTCACCCCAGTGCTACCCCACGTGTAGAGGAGAGTGGGAAGCAGCAGGCTCAGCCCTCCACTGGAGAACACTGATGGGCTCCTGATCATCTCACACCCTGCATGGCACCAGGCACCTCAGCCAGGACACAGAGGGCCAGGCCTTCACCCTGGACATGCCTCCCCAAGGGGAGAACCGCACTGCATATGCTTCTAAATATCTAAACTCATTACTGTGGAGACACACACACACACACACACACACACACACACACACACACATACACACGAGCTACAGTACTTGTTGGCAGCAAAAGGGAAACCTCCACGGTCATGTAGGGATGCAGATCAGTGTTGGGTGAGGACTTCCTGTTCTTGGTTGGTTAGGTCTGAGCTAACTCCTTTGCCAGGGTCTAAGGGTAGGAAGCAGAACTCACACCAAGTCAGGCCAATGAACGGGTCTCAAGGTGAACCATGATATCATCTCCTTCTTCTGATTATTTATTCTAAATATTGGGTTCTCAGTGCAAAGCGAGGTGGAAAAGAGTATCTATAGATTTATTTGTCTTGAAGAAAGCATTTTAAAAATTATAAGACATATTTAAAAGGGGACCAGATGGAAGTTAGTAGAACATATGCTTCTTTGTTGTTTAAAAGTTCAAAGTTTCACTGAACTTTGCACATCTCTAGCAAATATATTTTTATATGCATATGGTATATAGTTAAATTAGTTCTTGGAGCAGCAAAACTGTTACTGACTACTGAACACTGAGTTGAGCTTTAAAATACCGTTGTCTCAACGGGCTGTGAGAATGAGCAGAAATGAGGGCATATTTCAAAGAATCTGACCAAGTCATTATCCTAAGACTTGATGGGCTAGGTTTTACAATGCAGATCCTACTGCAAAAACCCCATCACTGTCAAGTGGTGACTTGGAATAAAACAACTCACTGGGTTCCTAAGCATTCCTTAAGGTAAAAGTGCTATTTGCAAAGAGCAGGATAAGATTAAAGTGCCTGGGGAGGGACACAGTGTTTAAAAATGACATATTATGTCTGTTTTGTGAGGTAGTAAATAGGAAGCCAGAAATGGGAATTTTGGGAACAAGAAAGATTGCCTAATGACTTAATAAACAAATCTTAGTATGTTCTTCTTCCCTAAACCATAGTCACACACTGGAACCTTTAGCTTTGGGCTATAACTGTACCTTTTACCACCACAGACACAGGAGTCTGGGTGATCTCACATAGAACTTGCTCCTGGAAGGAAAGCCGAGGCTGTCTGGGAGACCCCTGGAAGGGGAATGCTGCTGTGGCTGAACGCAGGGCAGTCATATTGTGGGTAGACATTGAGGGTGAGCAAGAGAGCAGTTAGAACTGGGAGCTCACTGACCCTGAGTGACAGGATCAGCTGGAATGTGGTGACTGGTGACAGCTTCCCTGTGACAGCTCTGCCTGCCCCTGCATCTGGGAGGAGACATCTACACCTGGATGTCTAGCTTCACCACAAAACACAGCTTAAAAGTGATGGAAACAGTTAAGCAGAGGTTATTTTGCACTTGAGTGGTACTGTACTGTCAATCACTATGACTCATTTTAAGTGACCTTTCAACTCAGATGTATTTATTATGCTCGAGTAGTTACAGAAGTGAAGTGGGAGCCAGGCTGAGCCCCACCTATGAATGTAAGCATGTGGATTTGTAACTGACTGTAGGGAGCCAGAACCTTGTGTCTTGTGTTTACAGTCCTGATCGATTCCTTTGAAAAGCCCTGCTGTTTTGGACATGCACAGTGGACGTGTTGGAATAAAAAGTAAATACCACTTTTAAATATTTCCTAAATGAAAAACATGTGACCAAACAAGTGAAAATCCACTGCTCTGTGATGAATGACACCAAATTCAACATGCCTTTGTTACAAAATGTTTACTGTGAGCGTTGATCCAAACAATGCAGTCATTTCCAGCCTTTTGAGCTGACACCTTCATGAGTTTGTAGACTTTGTGACTTTTCCTTCCTGTCCTTAAAGTGCCATATACCACTTACAATATTAAAGTTCTTCGAATTAAACTTGATTTGAGAATTCTATAACCCCTCTGAAGATCCCTGGAAATACTCAGGGGTGTCAAAGCCCAGGCTGGTAATCACTGCTATAATGACATGTCCTGTTCCCCTAGCCTGCAGGAACAGTATTACCCTAGAGTTCCATGTGGACCCAAATTGGCTCACTGCTATTTACTAGACTATTCTTTAAGGCCTTAAACAGAATAATAATACATTCCAAAGGGCAGCACACCTGAAAAGCTAGCCTCAGGGACAGTGTCAGTTTATTTTCCTGGTTACCTGGCTATGGTAGCAGGACCTGGGCATTTGCAGCTGTTACTGGGACCACTGCTGAAGCAATAGGCCTCCCAGCATATTAGTTAAGTGGAGAACCTGAAGCAATGGAAGCTCATCCATGGTTCATGCTTGCTGTGTGCTAGGATAATCATTTGTCTTTAAATGTGTCCCTATGTGGACACAGCACCATCCTCATTCAAAAGATGAGATTCTGAAGCTAACGGCCTGTTACGGGATCATGGTCACAGAGCCAGGATTCAAACTTGAATCTTGCTAACAGAAGCCCTGCTTTGCTGACCACCTTGCAGTCCTCGTGGGAGGGGCCACCTTCTCTGAAACCCATGCCTCTTTGTTTCTATTCTGGATTTCTAGACTTCCCTAAAACTTTCATCTCAGCATCCCAAAAATAGCCTTGCCTAATAGAACTTCCAGAAAAGACTGTAGACTCTACTTTTGCTATCCCAGGTGAGTGTCAGGAGCTGCCTGTCCCTCTTATATTTGACATGTGGCTAGTCTCTGAAGAATTGGATTTCTAATTTTAAACCTCTTCCTGTGGTGCAAACTACCATACTAGATGGCACACAGCATACGGGAAGACATTATATGTGAGAAGTTTCAGGGCCTCCACTTCCCCAACTTCTGCAAGAGCACTTGGAGCCTGGCGTTGGTGGCACACGCCTTTAATCCCAGCACTTGGGAGGCAGAGGCAGGCGGATCTCTGTT